CTTCCAGTTCTACGGTATAGTCGAACTAGCAGAAAAATGCAAGGCTTATCGGGAGCCGATTGGAATTGGTGATACAGTGACATGGCGAGAAGAAATGATTGAGCTCTACTGGAAAGCATTTGTACGCTTCTGGATTGACGAAAGCCTGGTACTACCGTTCGTTTACGAGCGAAACAACCACACTTTCGCACGATGCGTTGCATGCACTGAGGTGCGCTTCCAGTTCCATTCACTTCACACTGCCAATGACAGAAAGCTTCATTCCGGCCCTTTCTTGTTCCCTCATCTTCCACACTGCTGAGTGCATGTTCAGGGGAAATGAGAACGCCAGCGCTAACGGTGGCACTGCACAAACGCTTACTGTTGCAACGTCTGGTCCTCAGGTAATTCACAAACAGGGAGAGTTAGCTGAGGATCAGTCTGTGCGTCTGTTCTGCGTGTGTGCACCATCTCTTCAAAAACATCCGCCTGGTTACCTTCTGCCAGGTGGTACCAGCAAGGTAGCACTTGTCATGTTCAAGATTGCTAGCTTTTCCTCCGATCACCAAATTTGAGGCTGGGTATAATTTATAAATAGGAGTAAAAACGTCCATAAACCCTCCTCGGATAGTGAGGTGGGGGTCACGGACAAGGACGAGAGGGGGGAGGGAGGAAGGGAAGTGTGGGAAGGGCTGGGAATGTTGATTTAGGTCGCAGGAGGTCGTAACAGAGGAGGAAGGATTGGGATGCTGATAAGGAGATGGGACTTTGCTTAGAGGTGAGAATTGGAGACAAGAATAGAGATTACGGTGAGGAAGTTATATGGGTTTGTAAAGGAAGAAATCAGATGCTAAGCGAAAGCTAATAAGCTTCTACTCGCTCTCTAAAATTTCGTTGAAGTAAAAAATCCGACACTTGCGTACGATCATAACTTCCAAAATTCTCAACCAGATCGACAAACGAGTGCATTTTCCCGAAAAGTGTAGGAATTTTGCGTGGCCCAGCCGATTTTAGTAATTGCCAGAACGTGAACTTCAAAAGCAG